TCCCACCCCTGCCCACGCCGCGGGCTGGCGCTGCTGCCCTCGCCCTGGGCAAGCAGATCTTGGTGGTGGGTGGTGTGGATGCGACGCAGAGCCCTCTCGCCTCAGTTGAGGTCTACCACGTGGATGAGGGCAAGTGGGAGAAGAAGGCGGCACTGGCTCAGCCCTCCATGGGCATCTCAGCTGTGCAGAGAGGTGAGGGATGGGGAGGGTGCCTGGCTGCAGTCTGGAGAAGTGGAGATACAGGAGTCAGGGATGCTCAGGTGGGATTTGAATCCCTATGCTGTTTGGGATGCTGCATAAGGCTTTCACCCAGCAGCCAAACTTGCCACTTAATAGTAGGATCATGCTCCTGCCCCAAAAGCCAGCCCACTTGCAGCCCAGAGATGAGCAATACAGACCTCCTCCAGGTATGGTTGCCTTCCCCAGCTGTCCTGGCTGTGGGCCATGCTGGGTGGCTGAGCACTCTGCTTGAGCCTAGCTTGGTGTGCTGTGCATCAAACATATTGCGACTCCTGCCTAAAGTTTCCTGAGCAGCCTTGAGCCTTGGCACAGTTTGGCATGCTAGGAGCCAGGTATGTGGTGCCCAAGTCTGCTTCCTGAGCAGGGATGCTGTGACATGGCCCAGGTCGCAGCGGGTTGAGCAGGGCAGAGGGGATGGCAGGACAGTGGTGGGAGCGGGCAGGGGTGCCGGCCACGCTGGGAGCAGGAGCAGGATTTGGCAGAATGGCTGTGTTGCCATGGTGTCTCCAGGGAGATGGTACTGCTGAGAATAATTAGAGAGGATGGCCTTGTGCTCTTCTCTGTGTCTGATGGATGGCACGGAGAGGGGGACAAGAGGGTCCCATCAGGATCAGGGCATTGCCAGGCTCAGACCTGGCTACACCATCCCTTAGCCACCCTGGAACGATGTGTGCCCATGGGACTCTGCACTGCCTGTGCTACCAACCCTGGAGGGCACAGGGGCACTCCCAGCCCCATGGTGCTGCCCACAGATCTCCCTGTCTCAACACTGCCTCTTTTGCAGACGGGGCTGTTTACGCACTGGGGGGAATGGGTGCGGACACCTCTCCCCAGGCATTGGTCCGTGTCTATGAGCCGGCGAAGGACCACTGGCAGCCCCTGCCCTCCATGCCCACCCCGTGCTATGGGGCCTCCGCCTTCCTGCAGGGCAACAAGATCTTCGTCCTGGGTAGGTGCTGCTGGGGCAAGCTGAGCATCCCCTGTGTACCTCCACTGCCTCTGGGTCAGGGAGTGACGTGGTGCACCCCAGGGCAGCTCCATGCTGCCCAGCACTGCAGTCAGGGGGGCCCCTCTGGCTTGCTGAGCCCACGCTGGGCTGCCCAGCACTGCAGTCGGTGGGGCCCCTCAGGCTTGCTGAGCACAGTGATGGTGCCAGTCGGGGCACAGGCAGCCACAGCATCTCCTCTGTGCACAGGGGGCCGGCAGGGCAAGCTGCCCGTCACAGCCTTCGAGGCCTTTGATCTGGAGACGAGGAGCTGGACACGCTATCCCAGCGTGCCCAGCCGCCGCGCCTTCGCCGCCTGCGCCATGGCCGACGGCGTCGTCTTCAGCCTGGGGGGGCTGCAGCAGCCAGGACCACACAACTTCTATTCCCGTCCCCACTTTGTCAACACCGTGGAGATGTTCGATCCCACCCAAGGTGAGCTCCATGTCCCTGAGTGGAGTGGAAGCATCACTTACGTGTCCAGGATGACTCCTTGGATTGGTGAGGGGTGTCTGCACCTGAGGGACATGATTATGCAGGCTCTGAACATCAGCCCCTTGCACCCATGTGAATCCTGCCCTGTGCTCCCTGGTCCCAGGGAGTGATTAACCTGGGGCTGTCGTGGCATCAGTGTGTGGAGAGGAGCCCCAGTGTGTGATGCTCATTCCCTCTCACCCCCAGGTGCATGGAGAAAGCCAAACCGCACCATCCGCATGAGGGAGAAGAGAGCCGACTTCGTGGCCGGCTGCCTAGGAGGAAGAGTGGTGGCCGTGGGTGGCCTCGGTAATGCTGGGGGTAGGCGTGTGGCCATGTTCCCATCCCCATCATTTGTGGCATATCAGTGACCTGCATGACAGTGGAGAGGTTGGCTGTGAAAAGCCACGGAGGTACTGCAACACTGTCTGCATCTGCATCCCTTTTGTGCCCTTCAAGTTCTGAGAAGACCCTACTGCCCTGCCCCAAAGGCTGCCCCACTGAGCCCCTTGCTCCTTTCACCTCCAAACCAGGCTTTTTCCAGCTCATGTGCAGTGTACCGGGCTCACGTAGCCCACAGAGGCTCAGCCTCACTGTGCAGGGCTGCAGCACTGCATCCCTCTCCCAAGAGAGCTGGGGAAAGGTTAGTGCTGTCACTCAGCAGCAGGGATGCAGCAGGAAGGGCTGTCTGGGGAGCCTGGTGCCAGCCACAACACCCCCAGCCCTGCAGTGAGGGCTACCAGACCCCCCAGGCTCACCCAGGGTGAGCTGGGCAGGAGGAGGTGATGGGGAAGGCAAGTGGTGCTGGCTGAATCCCTGCGGTGTGGCATTGTTCCTGAACCCTGCCGCTGCTGGAGCTGCCCTCCCTTATCCCTGCGGAGTGCCGGCACAGGGTGGGCAGAGCCAGCAATGCGGCATTAATGCCAGCAGCCCTCCCTGTGGGGACTTGGCTAATCCTCTTGTTCCCCCACTAATTGCCTCTGGGATCTCAGAGCCCCCGCAGCCCAAGGCTCCTGTTGGGATATCAGAGGCATGCAGAGGGGGAAAGGCAGACACTAGGGGGTGTGCGGGGGGAGATGCAGGGGGTTCTGATGCCATTCTATCTCCCATAGGGAACCAGTCCTACCCACTGGACTCAGTGGAAGGGTTCAACCCCTCACAGAAAAAGTGGGAGCCACTGCCCCCCATGCCCACGGGCCGCTGCTCCTGCTCCAGCTGCCCGGCACCTGGCCTGCTCTTCCTCATCGGTGGAGTGGCCCAGGGCCCCAGCAATGCCGTCGAGGCTCTGTGCCTGCGTGAGGCGCCCTGAGTGGGGCCCTGGGAGCCAGCCCCAGCCAAGCACCAAGTGCCTGAAGACGGGGACAGGGTGTGTGAGCACCCATGCCTGCGAGTGACCTGGCTCCAGGGAGCTGCAGTCCCATGACATTGGACACGGGAGCAGCTGCAGTTTTGGAAATCCCTCTTGGCTCCTGTAGTGCTGTGGTGATGGAACCCAGGGCAAACTCCTGCCTGGTGGGACGGCCATGGCCAGCAGTGTGGAGGGAGCGGCGGCGGCGGGACTGTCGCTGGCCTCACTGCCCTGTCCGGCCCCGGCCGTGCCGCGGCGTGTCCGTGCCGTGTGTGTAGCAGTGAGTGCTGTGTCGTCGTAGACCCAGTCAATGTCTCATGTAGCACAGAGGTGCCCTGTAGCTCAGTGCCTGGGAGGTGACGTAGCACCTTGAATAAATGAAACACATGGAATTTTACCCCACAGGAGTCGTGTTGTCCCTGGTTATCCTACTCCAAGCAGAGACATGCTGCAGCCTGTCAGAAAACCCCTCCCAAGGGAGAACCCAGTGAGCCCTTCCCTGGCAGGACCTGTGCTGTGGGGTGGGGATGGCTCTTGTTCTTCTCCCCATTGCCAGGGTGAGCAGAGCAATGTGATGTTGGGATCTGGCCCCCTTTTGGAGAGGGGGAGCTGGGCAGTGGCTGCCCTGCATTGGCACAGCCTTGCTCCTGCTTGGCCTCTCCTGTGGTGGAAGGGGCTGCAGGGGGTGAAGGCAGCAGCAGGAGAGGGGCTTTGCTGGAGGGAGCTGAGGTGTGAGAGAGGCAGGAAATGGAGATGGCTGCCAGGATCCTGAGAAATAAGATGAGATGCCTAGTGTCAGCTTCTGGGCCCCATCCAGCACCACAGCCCAATCTCAAAGGATGGACTGCGGCGGGTGTGTGGGAGAGTTGGATCCAGCTGTGGCCAGCTCCCCTGTGCAGGGACACCACAATCCTGCTTACAGGCAATTGGAAAGTGAAGGTCGTGTCTGTGGGTGATATTTAGGGGTGTACCCTAAACACAGTGAGACCAGTGGGGGATGACCTCCAATTACCCAGTGCTGTGGGCTCACATGAGCCTTGCTGGTCTTGGCTCCATCCAGAGTCCTGCACCCAGAGCAGAGAGCAGCAGTAGTGGATGCAGGTGAGGGATTCGATCTTTAACTGGTACGACATTAGAAAGATCTCACAAGTCCGGGTAAATATCAAGCACAGATGCCTGACCTTTCAGAGGAGACAGCTGGCATGATCCTTGTTGGGCAGCAGGGCCGTAGAGACAGAAGGCTGAATCCCGTCGGAGTGCAGCAGCATCCGGCACACTGCTGGGGCAGGCTGAGCCGTCTGCCGCGGGCGTCACAGCGTGGGGAAAGTTGGAAATGATTCAGAAAAGAGCATTCACAGGATGTTTTCAGTACCACTGCCCCATTGCTTCTGCTGTCCACCTGGCAGAGCAACCACAGGGTCCATCCTGATGTGCTGCGTGGCTGCTTGCGTGTGATTTGGGAGAAACAACCTGGGATACCTGGGCTGGTGGTACCTCAACTAGAGGTATCCCTGCATCTGCCTCTGGGGTTGCCATAGAAACCACTACTGTGCCAGAGCCAGCATCAACAGTGAGCCCCAAATTAAGGACTGAGCTGTACCTCAGCATCCAGGAGGATGCTCTGGCAGTGAGGGGAGAAGGTCAGCAGCTCATGTTATGAGGGGAGGCTGGACAGAGGGACCCCCTCTCTGAACACAATGTGCTCCAACCTTCTACGAATATTTCACAGCACTCCCTGACCTGTGCTCAACCCCATTGGGCTGGTCCTTCTCAGGGTCCTGGGAAGTGACAAACCCCTCACTGCCACCTCGCTACTTCTCCCCACCCTGCCAGCCCTTTCCAGAAGCCACCAAGGCATGCAATAATTCCATTCTCACTAAAACTTTAGTCATGGGGGACCCTAAATCATGGAGCTGCACTGGTAACACAGACTTGATTAATAAGCTTTTCCCTCAGGAGCATCGCATGAATGGGATAAATCATGACGCTGAGTCACCGGCAAATTGACATCCCTGCGTGCCAAGCTCCCTGCTGCTGATGGGGTGCCCTGAGCTCTTTTCCAAATTCAAGGCGATGGTGGCTGCAAGAGCCAGAGGATGCTGGAGGGGGAAGCTGCAGTTTGGGAGCTCATCACTGTTGTGGTGTTTTCAGCAGCGAAAGTGGCCGGGACAATGGCCAAGGTCAACTCAGGAATGGAGAGATCTTCAGGTAAAGGGATGAGGGTCCTGACCACTTTTGGAGACTGACACATTATTAGCTGAAGAGCTCCCATGAGTTTTTAACAAAATGTGCTATGAAGAAAAAAAAGTCGAGGGACGTAGCAAATATATTGCCGTCTGTCTCCTGGCAGCTTCTGCTAATTTTACTGAAGGAAAGACTTTAAGTACCTGGCCACCCTCCCTAACGCTAGAAGCACAGGCTGTTACTTCAGATATAAGGAGAGCTACAGTGCCTGGCAACATGGTTAATCTCCCCAGGGTGTGTTTTGGATGGGGGAGACGGAAATGGAGGGAGCTGTCAGACCTATAATTAAAAAAATATGTTTCTGTATAGAAATTTCTTTTCGTTGTCAGGAGAGATGGAAATACAAAAATCTCATTTATCATATTCCACAAACTTGGTAGACGCTCACGCCAGAAAGCTACAGCCACATCAGAAACAGGAATAGCTCCCTATAATTACATAAAATAACATGTTGAGCCTTATCGTCGGTGAGCAAAGCACCAGCAAATCCTTTTCTGAGGGTAGTGGAAGTACTGTAAATGGGTACAGGGCTCTACAGTCTCTTCTGCAGGGAGATCTGGGCCAGCTTTCCAATTGTAAGCAATAAAATGATGGAAAATCACCATTATCAGTGCAGGGCCATATAGGACCCAGACGCACAGCAGTGCTCTTGGCAGCAGTGCCTTTCACTGGGCTGTACAACAGAGTCATAGGCAGTGCAGGAGCAGAACAAGGCTTTTATTTACTTAAAAAGTGCAATAATCATCAATATTCCTGTCAGCTTGGCTCTCTGGAGGAAGGTTTGCCTTCCAGTCCACAGCCACCTTGGACAGCCCAGCCATTATCCCACTCCTGAATCACGATCCAAGCTGTGATTCCCCACTCTGGTCCTAGAAAATCAACCTGTTGGATGCTCCTCATGCAGCTGAGAATTACCAAGTTGTCTTGCTAAATCTGAGCTATTTAAAGCAACCCTAGTGCTGTAATGCCAAGCAAAAACAATGCAGATAAGTCGCTCCAATAAGTTTTTTATGGGTAAAAGACCAGAATTTTTATTTTCTTTTTTAAATGAAAGCTCTATTTCTGTGGAATTTGATTAGGAAACCAGATATACACATCAGGAAAGCCATTATTTTGACACTTCTGAACTCCAGGCTGCCTTTAATATGAAAGGCAAAAGAGGATAAAGGGGAATGCAAGTATTTCCTCTGATCTATCCATGACTTAATGTCTACCTTATTTTTACAGTGATTTAGTGCTTATGGAGTATCTTCAGAGCCAGCAACAAAACATTTTAACTAATATTGGGATAGTTTTGAATTAAAGGAGGAAAAATCAGGCAAACAAGTGTGCCTGTTTTACTTTCTTAAAGATGGAGGATACAGAAGCACAAGGGAAAAAAATCCAGTGAAACCATATTTGAGAATCTTTCTCTGGGGAATGTTTAGATGATGGGTTATTTTTGTCATACTTCTAATGGGTGAAATTGAATCATTCTGCATTTCTGCCAGAGATATTTACACGAGAGACCACACAGTCTCTGGGTATGAAGGAAATGAGCACTGTGGCTGCTGTTCTCCCACGGGAGGTGCCCTCAGTGTCCCACACTCCAAGCCTCCTCTTCCTCCCCGTGCCCTGTGATGACTCCCTGTGCCCAGGATTATGCTCCCAGGTGAAGGGCAAGAGCTGGCCTGTGGAGAGACTGGAGCTGGGGTTGATCCTGGGTCCATGGCCATGAGCTGAGAGCCAGATACTCCCACCTCTGAGGTGAGATCAAGGGATCCCCAGCTCGGGGTGACCCCAGGAACCCTCAGCCTCAGGGAGAGATCCGGGGACCCTCAGCCCTGGGGTGACCCCAGGGACCCCTCCAGGACCTCAAGACCCCTCAAGCCATGGGGTGAGATCTAGGGACCCCCAGACCTGGGATGAGATCCAGGGACCCTCAACCTGGGGTGACCGAAGACACCCTCAGCCCCAGGGTGACCCCAAGACCGTCTGCCTCAGGGTGAGATCCAGAAACTCCCAGCTCTGGGGTGAGATCCCAGGACCCCAGTCCAGGGTGACCCCAGGGAACCCCAGGCCCACAGTGAGATCCGGGGTCCCTCAGCCTCAGGGTGAGAGTCAGGCACCCCCAGCCCTGAGGTGAAATCCAGGAACCCTCAGCCACAGGCTGAGCTCAGACACCCCCTAACCCTGAGGTGAAATTCAGGAACCCTGGGCCCTTGAGGCCCTCAAGGCCCCACAGGGTGGGCAGGCCCAGTGTGTGGCTGCCCCAGGCCTGTGGAGACCCTCAGGCCGGGTCTGTCTTGGGCCTGCAGGGCCGTGTCCTGCTGGGCTGTCCCCACGACCACAGGACACGGGAGACGCTGCCCCAAGCAGGGCTGGTCTCTCCCTTCATGTCCCTCCTCCCTGCAGGGCACTGTGGCGCCATGGCGGCCACCAGCGGGGACAGGCCATGAGGGCCGGGGCCATGTTGAGGGCCAGGGGCTGCCCGCCAGGGTGTCAGCCCTGAGAACAACATGAACTTCAACGTCTGGAATATCAAGGAGATGCTGAGCATGCCGACAGCCATGGGGTGAGTGTGAGCGTGGAGCGTGGGTTGACGGACAGGGGATGGGGCATGAAACCAAACACATGGTGGGAGTGATGGTGAAGAGGTGAAACATGTCCAGAACTGATCTATGGCTGATTATGGGAGGCTAATGGGAGTTCATTGGTCTCCCCTGTGATCCTGTTTGTGCCCCCAGCCTGCCAGGAACTGCCACAGATCCACCATTGCTGGGGATCTAAAAGCTGACATTGTCTGGAAGCCGTACCCTGGTCCATTCGGGGTGTATTTGGTGAAGTCCTGTGACCTGTCCTTTTGTCATTAGATAGGTTAAATTTTTCTCTCGTCTGTGCAGAGGGCAGATAAAATGAAGTGTGATGTGCAATATTATTACACATCATGTAACTTGAAAATTATTCCATATCCTGCATTTATACGCATGGCTTGTTTTTTTCCCAGCAGGAACCAAAGAGCAGCTAGAACTCCCCACATCTACAGCCCATAGTGAAACAACAAATATTCAGATGTAAACATCTGAAGGGCAAATATGTAAGACAGGCTGCATTTTGTACAGCAGAGCATCACCTTTTGTATCACATGACTGAAAAAGACAGCGGGATTTATCCCCTGTTT